TTAAAAGATGACAATTCAGCAAGAACCGAATTTTTCATAATCAACCCGTGCACGCACTCATCACCTCGTGTACACGACACTCACGTATCAGAAATTATTACAACAGTACCAAATCCTAAGGGGATTTCCCCCACACAAGGTTAGACAAGTCACTTACTTCAGTTGTCGCTCAATCAATCGGTAAGAATGTCTTTCCCTCGATTTTCTGACTCTGAATAACCCAAATCTAGCCAAAAGAAATTTCATAACATGAATAAAATTACAAGAAACTAATTTAAATCATAAATCTACGACTTTAGCAAGGAATCGAAAAATCGCCCCGCAAAGTCGACCAGGGCCACGTCTCGAAATCGGGTAAAAGCCACAAAATATGAACACTCATTCAGCCACGAGTTTACCCATATCAAAATTATTAAAATCTGACACCAAGTCGCCACTCAAATCCCCAAATTACACTCTCCAAATCCCTAGCCCCAAACTCTCATATTCCACCTTAAACACACATAATCTAGGTGGAAAAAATCAACGCGGAAACAAGATTATTGATAAAAAATAAGCACAACAGACTTACCTCAAGAAATCCCTCGCAAATGCTTTCAAAAATCGCTAAAATCGAGCTCAAATGTCGAACAAATGATAAAAATCCCGAGCCCTTAAATTTATAGAATATGCCCAAGCTTTTCGCTTTTGCGGACCAAATTTTGCTTCTGCGGTACTGCTTCTGCGGTGAAATCTCCACATCTGCGGAGTTCACTTAAATTCCTAGGTTTTGCATCTGCGCGCAAATCTCCGCATCTGCGGATGCGCTTCTGCGGTCCCTCGTCCGCTTCTGCGGAAACCTCCCTAAGCACTCACCCGCTTCTGCGATCGATCCCCCTCAAAAGCGACTCCACTTCTGCGGCTCTCACACCGCACCTGCGACCACTGGCCAATTCCCCTAGCTCCGCACCTGCGCCCCAATGCTCTCACTTGCAGGCTCGCACCTGCGGTCAACCTTACGCAGCTGCGATTACACCAGAACCAACCGAGCACCAGAAAATCATCTAAGTCCAAAAATAATCCGTTAACCATCCGAAACTCACCCGAGGCTCCCGGGACCTCAACAAATATATCAATTAGTCCTAAAACATCACACGAACTTAGTCGAGCCATTAAATCACATCAAACAACGCTACAAATATGAATTACACATATGACTCCACTTTTGCGGCTCTCACACTACACCTGCGGCCACTGGCCAACTCCCCTAGCTCTGCACCTGCGCCCCAATGCTCTCACTTGCAGGCTCGCACCTGCGGTCAACCTTACGCAGGTGCGATTACACCAGAACCAACCGATCACCAAAAAATCATCTAAGTCCAAAAATGATCCGTTAACCATCCGAAACTCACCCGAGGCTCCCGAGACCTCAACCAAATATATCAACTAGTCCTAAAATATCACACGAACTTAGTCGAGCCATTAAATCACATCAAACAACGCTAAAAATATGAATTACGCATCGATTCTAGCCTAATGAACTTAAAGGTTTCAAACTTCTACATCTGACGCCGAAACCTATCAAATCAAGTCCGATTCACCTCAAAATGTGCACACAAGTCATAATTGACATTACGGACCTATTCCAACTTTTGGAATCGGAATCCGACCTCGATATCAAAAAGTTCACTCCCGACCAAACTTCTCAAAAATCATCCTTTTTCCAACTTTCGCCAATTAGCGCTAAAATGACCTACAAACCTCCAATTCAATATCCGAATACGCTCCTAAGACCAAAATCACCCTACGGAGCTATAGGAACCGTCAAAACTCCATTCCAGAGTCACCTTCATACAGTTCGAACTACGGTCAATTCGTATGACTTAAACCTCCATTTTAGGGACTAAGTGTCCCATTTTACTCCGAAACCAAAACAAATCCTCCTGGCAAGTCACAAAATCCAAAAATGAATTAGAGTGAATAATAAATAGGGGTTCAGAGCTAATTTTCTCAAAACGACTAGTCGGGCTATTACAGTTCGGGTGAACACCCTTCCGCCCCTCTAAATCCACCCCTGTGTACTGCTATTATATTGATTAATAATTCAACTTGAACAAACTGTGGGATATCTCATGGGATTAGTTATCCCATCTTTCCGATATTAGTTAATACCCCAAACCAACATGGGATAAAGTTAATCCCAAACTTTATCACGAGATTATTATCCTTATTTCATTTACCAAATGGTGTCGATAATTGTCGCTGTTATGTTCCCACATATTCTTAAGGTGTTTGCGCCAAATTTTATTTTGCAATTTGAGTACTAAAAAATATTTTCTTTATAGAATGTCCATTTGCAATGTTAATATATAAGGAATTGAGAAGTTCAATTGTACAACAATAGTATAAAGTCGATGATATTTGAAATCATATATTGCAGTTTAACTTATGATCTTTTAGTAAGTGAAATGTGCCAATTAAATAGTATATGCTAGTAAGACCAACAGTCAAGTGCCATTAAAATGTAACTTGAGATAGACAAAAGATAAGTAGATTATATCTTGACAGATCGGTAAGCATGAGAAAGAGTATAAAAAATGACTTTGGAACCAATGTGAATACTACTCCTAGTAGTTTGTTTTAGAAGACAAGTCGACAAGATTTAAATTGTTTCGGCATTATCAATGTACATTAAATGAATTATTTTATGAGATTATTAGAGACCAAAAAAGAAGAAAAAAACTTGCAATTGGCCGGTAATTAAAGAACAATGCTAAAATCAAGGAAAAGAATATTTACTCGACAAGAAAAGAAAGTGAATAGTAATATTCACAATAGAAAAAATAATTTAGTACTAGAAAATAAAAACACGGCTAACTTTCTTTCCTCCCTAGAACCATTTAATCAGTTTGAGCTAATTGTAACTTGGAAGACTTTAGTTTGTCTAGTCTGAATCAGTGTGGGATCCGAAATATAGGAAATTTAAAAATATTTGATATTATAATATTATTTTGTGGATTATTCTTAATTTTTTTTCTTTACAATTTAGGATAACCGTATGTGTTGTTCGTTTTGCGAGGAACAAGGTTCAAGCTAGTACACGAGATATGCTAATTTTAATTTCGCATAGTTTATTGGACAAACTTGAACCTTTCATTTTCTTTTTAAGTTTTACGATGTCGGTGAGAGTTTAAGAGGATATTAGAAATTTCTTTACATTCATAAGGTAAGAATAAAATATATGTATATACTACTCTCTTCAAATCCAATTTGTAAGTCAATAGACTGAGTTTGTTATTGTTGTTGTTAATGTCGATGAGCGTTTTATTGTCTACTTTCCCCATTCTCATTTTCATGATCCCGCCGTATAATAAAAAAAAAAGAAGGTAAAAGAAATAGTAATAAAATATTTAAATCTAAATATTATCAAAACACAGTGAATGTAACTAGGATTTTGGCATGACCAGTGATATTGATGAGTCGGGACAAAGATGGGGCCAATGGTCCAACAGCTTGCAACCAAGCAGCTCGAGGGCTTGATCCCAGCTGGCATGAAAATGACCACATTTACTCAGATGAATCCAAACTTCCCCTTGGGACCCGCAACGAACGTGACCACGTCATCTCTGACACAACCACAGGTGTCCTTGAGCTTCAAGGCCATTGAAGTCTCGAGTGATTTTACTGTATACTTCAACCAACTTATATTACTTGCGTGTGTGCGGCTTCTTTTTATCTCACATATATTGGATTCATATTTTATATATTTGGATTTACAAAACTTTAAAATCACAAAAAATTTAAAAAAAGACTTCATATAGTTAATGTCAATTGTGTGAGGCACAAAATAAATTTTTTTTAAATCTATATTTCACGTGTCTTGCATATTTTTCCAAAGTGTGTCGAGTCAGGGGCCCTGGTTAGTTTGGCAGTTTTTCTTAATGTTCCTATAAAATTCCATAAAATATAAAGTTCATTATTAGGGTATTCTGAGTATTTTGTATTGAGGTAAAGTCGGTGGAAGGGCGACACCCATCATTTTAACGTTTCTTTTGTAAAGTTCATTATGCAGAGCTAAATATTAATGGTCAATTAAAAAATGTAAAGGCTGGAAAATGTTTTGGGCGCTTCAGTTATTAATATGAATTTCGATGTTGCGAGCAAAGCCTAAGAAGGGAAAGTCTCATGTTTCATGCATCAATTCAACTGTATTCGTTTGTAAAGAGTAGCACTACATAAAAGCATATCACAGTAAATGTCTACATTAATAATTTATTTGGCCATGTTATCAAAATCACTTATTTGGAAAAGTATTATTTGTAGGAGGTATTCTTTGAAGAAGTACATGAGTAGTAATTTGTATTTGCTTAATCAATTTAAAAAGTATTTTTGTTAATATTAAAATAGCAATTTATGCTTAACCACGATTATAAGAGTACTTTTGGAAAAAAGGCTAGTACTTCTTTTAGCTTATGAAAAAATAACTTTTTGCAAAAATAATTTTTGCACCTACTCAAAAATACTTATTTTTTTTCCCTAAAAGCTTGATCAAATACAATTCAACTCTCTAAAATAATATTTTCTTAAATAAAAAAAAATATTTTTTACTTCTCGTAAGCTTGGCCAAACATGATATAACTCTTTATTTAACCGATTTTTTGACAAATCATAATAATGACTAATAACAACAATTAAGAATAATGTTTTAAATGAAAAAGTTGTGGCATTTTACCTATTGTAGTAGAAGTCAGCTTAAGGTACCTTCAACTAAATAATTTATTTCGTTGTTTCATTTTTTTTTTCAATAATATTTTTTACTATGGACATCTTGAAAGTTGGCTTTTTTTTTTTTTAAAATGAAAGTGCATTTAACATGTTTAAAAAAAACAATGTTTGGTGGGGGTTGGTTGTTCAACTGTAAGTCTGTAACGTATGGCGTGGGGAAAAGCGTAGTCAAAGCGCGGGGCGTTGAAAATTTCGTCGTAGAAAGTTGGTTTTTCTGGTTTCGTTGGAATTCAACTATACAAGCTGCGAGAGGCCTGCCATCTTTTTTGCCTTCTCCACCACGTCTCTCAAGTCTCAACCAATAAACCCCATTATATAAACACCTCCTCCCCTCTCTTAACTCTCTCTTTTCTCTCCTCTTTTCTCGCAATTCCCCCCTCAATTTTTTCTTATTGTTTTTCACGATTCTCTGCAATCGAAGCAAGCCGAATAAACAAATTCCGTCAATTCCAGTTCCTCTTTCTCCGTGATTTTTCTACTTCTTCTAGGGTTTCGGTTTTGCCTCGCAGCGATTCTTGCCTCCCGGAGGTAAGCTGACGTCATCTCCTTTTCTCGCCGGTACCATTTCTGCATTTTTTTTATTGCACTATAAATTGAAAAATGCTAGTTCTATCGTCTTGTTCTTCGAGCCTTTTTAGTTGCGTAAACGATGTTTCTGCCTGTTCGTATGACGTCATTGTGTTGCCATTGTAGGTTTTATATTCATTCGGTGGCGTTCTTTGCTTTGACACGTTTCCGTTCATTTTCCGCTTGTAAATCAGGTGCGCCGCCGCCAGTACACCTTTTTTCCTCTTTTCTATAATAAATTTTTTAATATCATTTAATTTTTCACCGGTTGCTCTGTGATTAGAAAATGTCATTATTAAACAATTTTAAGTTGATATTTTTAGTCGGTTTTCATTTTTCATCAGAGGTTGTGTGATTAGAAAATGTTGTTTTAATAATTATTTTCTGATATTTTGACTCCTGCCTCTGCTTTCTCTGTTTCTTTTTTTCTTTTTCTTTTTTCTTTTTTTTTTTTTGCAAAAGTTTATTTTTTATCGTGTTCATATGGGATGGCTGAAGAAATATTAAGAACTTCGGATGAGAGTTGTTAGGAATACCTTGCTTCATTAAAGGATTTGCTTATTTATGTATTATTTTTTGAATAGTCATGTTAGATATTATATTATAAATCTGTGGTGCTGCTTCAACTGATTGACAAGTTCGGTTATTTCCGTTTTTCTCCAAACAGCAAGGCAGATATTGTTAACATAAGTCCTACTACTATTATATTTGTAATGGAGCTGTATGATGTGATATATGTCATTTAGATATCCTGTTCATCTGTCAATTTTGACAAAATCGTTTTCAATCCTCGATTAATTGTCCAGGCTCTTCCTATAATATCATGATCAAGACAGGCTATATCAATATATTTGTAATCATTTTCACAGTTCGAATCCACAAATATACTCAAAGGAAATTTTTTTATTTCTTAGCATCCAACTGTCAATGGATATGTTTTGATCTCTGAATCAAAAACATACTCTTGATAATATAAGTGAAGATAAGAAGGGGTAAGAACAAAAAGGTTGAACGGGAATCTGTTATCTCCAAATGTTTCTATTCTTGGTGGTGGTCACAAGTTGGTGCATGGTGGCAACTATAATATGGAGATACATGAATTTAGAGTGTTTCTTTGTTTCTTTTCAATGTCATGGTTTTTGTTCTATTTCTAGAATTTAATGAGTGGGGTCCATATGCTTAATGCTCTCCATGCTTCTCTGAAGGACCATATTATGTGGTTGCATCTACTGTTTTTTCCTCTCAATTTGTGGGCTATGGGGAGGTTAACAGCTACCTACTGCCAATTGCCAAATTTTCTTGCCAAATATCAATATTAGGACCAGTATTTAGTTTATGCGACCTCTTAGATAACATGCACTTTAGTCTTTCAAAGGTAAACTCAGAATGTATCTGTTCCATTGATGTTAGTAATATAATTTTGTTAGTAGATATTCCTTTCAGACGTTAACAGCACAGTCTTCCAGATTGCGTGCTATTTGGAATCACCAGAAACCTTGATTTGCCTTTTTTGTGTATGGTCTTGATTGAAATTCTTTTAAATACAGTTCTTTCAAGTCTTGTTCTACTTCACTTCTTTCTTTTCTGGTTGGAACCTTCTCCAACTTGTGATTAATTTTATTACGTAAATTGTTGACAGTACACTTAAGCTGGGCTAAGCAGTAGTAGATTTTTGTGGTCTTCATGTTACAAATTTTCTAGATGCTGCATCACTTTAACATTTCATCTGTTAATTACATCTGTGATACTGAGACGTACAGCTGCTTAACATATCTCCTTCTCACATTTTGCAGTTTATTTAAGCTGACTGACTAGAAAACTAAGGTTAAGAAACGGGAGGATGTACAAGTAAGATCTATGTTGGATTGTGAATTATGAGTTTGCTATTGTCATTTTTCCTTCTCTCACTCATTGTCTTGTGATTGTCAGTTTCCAGGGATCTTTTGCTTGATGGACCATACGCCTGGCTGCAGTGATAAGGTTACTTTGAAGAGGTGGTTTTTCATTGACAAAAGGGTTGGTTAGAAGTGTGTGAAACATCCTAAGAGCATAGTTAGTAAACTATCGTCAACTGTTGCATATTTGATAAACTTGTATTCTGCCATAAAAGGATATTGGGCACAATGGACCTGAAATCAAATACTTCCCCTGTTGTCACTGATCCTGCCCCAATGACTCAGTCCAGATTGGGCATCCACTCTGCTTTGATGCCATACTCACCGACTGGGGCAACTTTCTCTCCCACACTATTCCTTACTATCCCAAGGAAGAAGCCAGGAATCCTAGATGATGTTAGATCAAACACTTGGTTGGATGCCATGAAATCGTCATCTCCTACACACAGCAAGAAAAATAAGGATTCCAATACTGAACTAGCAGCAAATGAAGGTGTTCTTGGCTACCGCATCTGGATGGTAATGCCTTTTATTTTCTTTGTATGTAATAATTTAGTCATTATTCTGCCTGGATCTTCTGGAAGCATATAAGAAAGTTGTTTTAATGAATTTTGTACCTTTTCAGCTCAAGTATCCCTCGGCACTTTCATCATTTGAGCAAATCACCAATTATGCAAAAGGCAAAAGGATAGCACTCTTTTTGGACTATGATGGGACTTTATCACCAATTGTAGATGATCCAGATCGAGCCTTCATGTCTGGTGCTGTGAGTATCTTAACTTTTAATGGGAGAAACTTTCTTCTACACTTGCAGGATTAATTTTTGACACTAGGTCACTCTTTTTCAGATGCGCGCTACTGTGAGGAATGTGGCTAAATATTTTCCCACAGCAATTATTAGTGGGAGAAGCCGAGATAAGGTGCTCAGAAATGCTTTTGTCAACTGTGTTTGGACAAAACTATTTTTTATGAGTAAATGTTGTCGTTACTTTGTTAAAAACTTCAAGATTCTTCTCTTATTGGTTGGATATTTTTGTGTCCAGGTATATGACTTTGTCGGACTAGCAGAACTTTACTATGCTGGTAGTCATGGGATGGATATAATGGGTCCTGTTCGATCCGTTTCTGATGACTATAGTTGTATTAGATCTACTAACAAGCAGGTAAAGATGCTAAAAACTGATCTCTATTGAAGCAAATTAGGACATCCCAACCTTCTTTTTCTTATGAACTTGCTGACATCAATTAGCTTCTGTGAACGCAGGGCAAGGAAGTTAATCTTTTCCAACCTGCTGGTGAGTTCTTACCAATGATTGATGAGGTATATATGATTTTTGTGCTAAAAGAGTATTGTTGCTATTTGTGGCAGCGCTCGGTATAAACAGTGTTTTCAATTATGCTCAAGCAGGTTTTTAGATCTCTTATTGAGCTCACAAAAGACATCACGGGAGCAAAGGTTGAGAACAACAAATTCTGTGTTTCTGTACATTATCGTAATGTAGATGAGAAGGTATGGATTGTAAATTTGGGTTAAAATCCAAATAAAAGATTGTGTAACTTTTCTTTACCAGTCAGAAGTTTCTTATCCCTTCTTGTTTTGTGCTTGCTTAAATTATCAGAGTTGGTCAACTATTGGAGAATCTGTTGATGAACTGTTAAAACACTACCCACGTCTGCGATTGACTCATGGCCGGAAGGTACACATCTGAGCCTGCTTTTGCACTGCACTTTGCATGGCGTTAGGAAAGTTACTGTCTTGGTATATTTAACTCCTCTGACTATCTGCTCCATAACCTTCTTCAGGTTTTAGAAGTCAGGCCTGTGCTTAACTGGGACAAGGGGAAAGCTGTCGAGTTCTTACTTGAATCGTTGGGTGAGTGAAGTCTTTGACTGGTTTATGGAACTGTACTGAAGGTTTTAAGATGTGTGAACAGTTGAATCCCATTCATAGCAAGTGAAAAAATAAAACTAACATAATATGCATTTTCTTTTGTTAGGGTTGAAAAATTGTGATGATGTTCTTCCCATATACGTTGGAGATGATCGTACAGATGAAGATGCATTCAAGGTAACATTGAGCACACAAATAGGAATTTAATATAATAGACCTGCTTCCTTCTGGGATCATCAATTATGTTACTAAATTAACAAATGCACTTGTTAACAGGTCTTGAGAGAGGGAAATAAAGGTTACGGAATCTTAGTATCTTCTGCACCAAAAGAAAGCAGTGCGTTTTACTCTCTGAGGGATCCATCTGAGGTATGAAAGTGTTTCTTAACCGAATGAAGCTGCTTCAGAAACCTTTTCATCCAGCATGCAATGCTTTAGTCCGATAATTCTTGTTATGAAATTCTGAACTAATAGCATTTTCCTGGTTGTAGGTGATGGAATTCCTCAAGTGCTTGGTATCATGGAAGAAGTCAAGTGGTTTTAGCTATTAACAAGGAGTACCATTCAACAACACATATACCCCATTTTGTTGAATTCTTTTCATATGAAGATCTAATGACTTGCGGATGGTTTAGGGAGCAGAGGTGCTTAGTGAAGCTTCTAGAGACAGCAACAGGGATTCAAGTTTACTGTTTCTGCTCAGAGTTTTTCTTTGTAAATTCCTTTTCGTAATTGCCGCATCAAGGATGCCCTTAAGTCAATGTATAGTCATCTTCGTATTTTATTTTTCAAGTTGTATGTTGTTTTAACTTTGGCGTCAGTTCTCCCCAAGGGAGAGTGTACCAACAACTGAAATGCTTAATACATCAAGTACGAACTTAATTTAGTAATTTGGGTGTTCAAGTCTCTTTATCTTGCCCTATCCTCCTGCCCTTCCTTGTTGAAAATTGCAAAACAAAAAATCAAATTTCGTCTTGTGATCTTTCTATAGCCCTGTATTAAAACCAGTGTTTTAAAAGGCGTTTTCGGGGCGAGTTCTGGGGCGAGGCGTACCAAAAACGCCCCGAGGCGATGGTGTGGGGCGAAAGTCTCAAGAGGCGTACGCCAAGCAATTCGTGGCGTACGCCACCCGGGCGTTTGAGGCGCGTTTTTGTAGTGAGGCGTAAGCCCAGAGACCTTTTCAAATTAAAATAAAATTTGTTGAATAAATCGTTCATATAATGTCCAAATTATATTATGGTCTTTCCAATTCTTTATCTTGTTCGCTAGTCTGCTAATATCTCCCAAAATAACGAATATTTAATTTTTTTTACAAATAGAAAGAGAACTTCGTTCTTCTTCATAGCAGCAAGTTCAAATTTCAAATTGCAGGTTAGTCATCCTATTTGTTTCTCCATGTAGAAAATTTTGTTATTTTCGACTCAAGTTACTTGTGCTAAGTAGCATATAATGAATTATTTTGACTAGTTTTTTGTGGGGATGGAGCACATATATATATATATATATCACATATTAATTTTTATGCAATTTTACCTATTTATAAATATTTACTGTAATTATATTATTTTATAAAATATTAAAAATTAAATACTCATGGGGCTTACGCCCCCGTGTCTCGGAGCTTACGGCTCGCTGAAACATATATAAAACGCCCCGCCTTACGCCCACGCCTTTTAAAACACCGATTAAAACTGGGGGATTCGAGTTGTAACCTTGTGGTTGTAAATTTACCTTACTTCACTTAGGTGTATTTGAAATCCCATCAAATGCCCTACTCTCTTCTTTCTTTCCATCTAAACCCAACTCAGAAAGATGGGCTTTTTATTAGCAAGTATTTAGTAGTATCTGTATGTAAAAGTAGGCAGATGTTCAGCTGAAATGGTAACCAATCTGTCTCTTAATGCCAATTGGCCCACTTAGAGGAAAAGAAATGAAGCAAAAAAGCAGCAACATGATCATTGCATCTTCCAGATGACAAGAACAAACTCACGAGATTCATAATAACACAACACCTAACACATATTAAAGGTTGACAATCATTAATTTGAATCTAGTTGTACTCCAGAACCTGAACTATGGTAGTTAATTAAGATCTGGACAGAATTAGAGAGAACCTAAATTTTCAATCTGCTAAGTTTCGCAATGATTCTTGTTAACACTTACCAAGAATCAAGAGGAGTAGAACCACAAAGGTCTTCGGTTGCTAATCACAAGTTTATTACAACATAACAGATACTCGACACTTGACAGATCTGTAGATAAATCGGCTAAGACGTGAATAACGTGGTACAGCACGGGTTAATTGACAGTAATGATTAGCAGTGTCTTTTTGGGCCAAAAAAATAGAAAGTGGATGAGAAACCATGGATTCCTTTTTGGACTTGAGATTAGTTATTCACACTCTCCGTAAATTATTTTTTAAACGTAAATAATTGAGTTGACCGTTGTCAACCAGGCAAACTGATCTATCAACACATTTATTACATTAAAAACATAAATTTAGTATGATTAGACAAATTCAAACTTCACTCTGTAATGTGTTCTTTTTATCTTTTAGTAGTAAAAGTTTTGGCTCAAATTATGGTTAATACTTTTAAAAAAAGAGCGAATGTTGAACCAAACATATGGAAATGGTATTGTCCCCAAAAAAGAGTTATTACTCAAATGGTTAAACTATCCAAAATTACCAACTAAAGATATTTTTCTTTCGTTTGTAACAATAAAGTGAGTTAACTATGCCTCTAGCACTCAGAAGGTCACTCGACTAGATTTCTTATACTTTTGATTGCCAAATACCTATTTTACCCTCTAAATTATCAACTTTTGCCTTCTTTTTATTTTTATTAACTTTTTAATATTATAATTTTTTCTCTTTTTATTATATATTATGGACTTACCTATAAAATAAATAAATTTATTTATAAATTAAAATTAAAATTAAAACACTATTCTTTAAGCATATATAATCTTGGAATAATAACATATTGAGCATAGTAAAAAAAAGTTAGAACAATTTGTTCGTAATAATAATTTTGATATTAACAACAACAACCCAGTATAATCCCACTAGTGGGGTATGGGGAGGGTAGTGTGTACGTAGACCTTACCTCTACCCTGGGGTAGAGAGGTTGTTTCCGATAGACCCTCGGCTCCCTCCAAGAACTCCCCACCTTGCTCTTGGGGTGACTCGAACTTACAACCTCTTAGTTGGAATTGGGGGTGCTCACCACTAGAGCAATTCACTCTTGTCAACCCAAAAAGTTATTTACACAATTTAGAATGAAAAAAATAAAAGTTTTATAATATATATTCCATGCACGTAATACAAAATAATTATTTAAAATAAAAATATTCTTATAATATACATTATATATTCTTGAATATTATGCTCATTGTATTATTAGTCCTATATTATATATGGTAGAAAAATAATTTTTTATTTTATAATAAAATTTATTTGTTCTATAGGTAAGTCCATCATGTAGATTAAAAAGAGAAGAAATCATAATATTAAAAGAGTAAAAAAGAAGAAGAAGAAGAAGATAAAAGTTAATAATTTAGATGGTAAAATAGGTATTTGACAATCAAAAGTTTGAGAAATCCGGTTGAGTGACATTTTTGTTACGAACGAAAGCAATATGACTTTACTAGATAATTTTCGATAGTTGAATGACCATTTAAGTAATGAACTCCCCAAAATATTACTATTAGTACGGACGCATTTTTATACCTTAAGAATAAAATCACTTCCAATTATTTTAACTTATAGCTTATTTGACCAAGCTTCTCTAAATTGAAAAGCACTTTTTTTTCCTTTCAAAATTGAAGTGTTTGGCAAAGCTTTTAAAAGGAAAAAATATATTTTTGAGTAGAAGTAGAAACACTTTTGGAGAAGCAGAAAAAAATAGCTTTTTCTAAGAAGCACTTTTGAGAAAAATACATTTAGAATCACTTTTTAAAAGTTTGATCAAACACTAATTGTTGTTTAGAAGCACTTTTCAAATTAATTAATCAAACACAAATTGTTTCTCACCAAAAAGTAATTTTAAAAAGAAAAAAAAAATACTAATTTTTTCAGATTGGCCAAAAATGCTATTAATCAATCATAGGCTACGCTGCTCGGCTGGTTTGGTCAGCTTGGTGGTAGATTCCTATTTTCACGTGTTTATTATTTGTAAATTGAATATTTACGTAATACATGCTTTGTGGGCCTTTTGGCTTTTGAGCAAGCCTTGATATCCCTCTTGTACTCTTTGAGATTTGATTCTCTATATTTCATCGAATTATATATTGTATATCTCATTTTTAATGCTATAAACCAACAAAACATTAGTACTAAACAGTTCAGGCGTAATTAATCCTAAAAATATAATTTCAAGACTATAATCCAGAAATAATGTTGTCCTCGAACCAAATCGACCCCTCAATATCTATTTGATATTAGAGCCAATTGCTTGAAGAACGTTTTCTTCCTTTTCTTGAACTCGACTCACTATTTTGATTATCTTTTGGCTGTACAAATCCTCATCTAGACATCTCCATCATATACTGGTTTTTTCCTCTTCAAACTTTCTCAATTATTCTTGTTTATCCGAAAAACGGATAGAGTTTAATTTGTACGTAGTTCTAAGGATATAAGGTATACCTTAATACAAATTATAAGGATAAATAGAAATATCAAATACGGATCGCAAAGAATGCAAAATAAACAAGGTTGGAAAGAATGTGATTTTTAGGACTAAGCAAGATGAATCAGTTTATGAATATCAAAAGAAGAACTCTTCAATATAGGAGTGTATGATGCTTGAATTTACAATGTAAGCCTGAAGAACTGCCCTCTACAGAAATATAGCCATCCTCTTTATAGTGGAGGATCCTACTTTAGATATAATTAAAAATACATAGTGAAGAACCCATGATAAATTAGTTTTTTTCTAATTTCCGCCGAGATTCTCTCCCTTAGTGTGTTTGCAATGGCTCTTGTCAGTGAGCTCGAGCTCGATCGACCTCGGTGTTGGTCGGTATTGCTTCTAGAGCTCGATGTATACTCGGGATCAGGTGATGATTCGGGCTCGGTATCGGTTGGCCTCTGCCCCTTAAGCTCGAAATTATCTCATCATAGTTCGATTCGGACCCGAGCTCGATAATGACTTCGAACTCGGTGTTTGACCTATACCTGAAATCTGAAGCTCGTTCATACTATCTTCGGAATCCATCTCGATATTACGAAGTCTTTCTTCGATCCATTATGTTTCGACCTCGATCAATCATACGAAGGCCGAAATCTATTTCGACCGTATACAGATAGTCCCCTCGTTTCTCGGGAAGGGTGTGATGAGAAACGATATGATTTTTCAATGGCTCGATTGGATATGCGTTGAGATTTGCATCGAGCCTGACCATGATGTCCGTGATAAATGTATGTCGGTTTAGCTTACCAAGGCATTTAATGTGTGTTAGACGGTGGTCGGCCACCGCTGTTATTGAACCGTCATTGCTTCAATCTATAAATAGCCCTTCCTTTCACCATTTATCACTTTTACGTCTTCAATCTTCAAAAAACTTTTAAGTTCCTTTTCGTCTCTTCTGAGTTCATTCGCTGATCTATGACTCTTTTCTGCCAAATTTTTCTTCTAAACCACCAAATCTTTGTCACCTTCTTTAAATCCAAAAATGCTGAAGACATCAAAAGATTCTTCTTCCCAATCTGCCGCCGATAAAACACCGGTGGATCCACGGCCTTAGGAGTGCGTTCCGGCAGCGTGTGTTCTTACCTCCGATTTCAAACTCGATAAAGGTTCACCGGTTCCTGGCCGATATAAGCCCGTATCGAGATATATTTATTCGATAACCGGGGGGTATATCGAGCAAATAAAAAAAGATTGTAATT